TGCTCTGGGGTCTAGAAGCCTGCCCGCTGCCCCAACCGCCTCACCTGACTTCGCGGACATTCTTCTCGGTCACCTCCACGTGGATGACAATGGGGTAGATCTCATTCTGCACCAGCTGCCGCACGCCCCGGGCACCCAGCTCCAGCAGGCAGTGCTTCTGCTCGGGGGACCCAGGCTATGTGGGATGCCTGGCCCCAAGGCACCAACCTCCCGCGCTCGCCCCCAGCCAAGGTCCCGTGCTGTGTCTCCCACTGCCCCACGGGTGCGAGTCCTGCTTCCCCACCCAGAGGGACGCTAGTACTGAGGACGAGACCCAGGAGGGGAGATAGGAGACCTGGAGAAGTGTCACTTTCCCCTCCGGACCTCAGCCTCCCCATCCGGAAGGATGGTGCTAAGCCCAGCCCACTCACCACCTGCCCTCCAGCCCCCACCCTCCCAGGAGACTGTTGGGTTTGAGGACGAGGACGTGGGGGTGAGACGCATCGAACACCTCAAGGGTGACCCACACCCACCCAGGTCACAGGTGAGGACACTGAGGGCCACAGCAGGGAGGACTTGCCCTGGGTTGCCCTGCAGGGAGTAGCAAAATGCGGCCTGCACTCGGGCTCTAGAACTCAGGCCCAGAATGCAGCACCCCTCCAGGCCTCCACCAGCACCTACCTTCCCGACAGACTCCTGGATGGCACGGATCTTGCTGCCCAGCCCAGGGGTGGCGGGCCGGGCCTTGGGGGCTCCAGGTGCTGAGGACAGGCCTAGTTCCTCACCAGAGAGGCTTTCTGCAGAGGGAGGGGAAGGGAGAGGCAGGGACAGAGGGCCAGTGGGCCTGGCTGCCCCAGAGTGCTCCGCCCTCCCCTCCCGGCCATGCAGGCTCACCCGCTGGGCACACTTGGAAGTCCAGCCGTGAGCTGGGCAGGTCTAGCAGGTTGCGGATAAGCCGGGGCGCCAGGCACTCGGGCAGCAGCACCACGGGCCGCAGGGCAGACACCAGCAGCGGCCGCACCAGGCTGTAGGGCTTGAGGCTCCGCTCTGGCTCTGACAGGGGTGGGGTGTGGAAGAGATGAGGGTGCGGGCAGGGGTCCCGCCTGCGCTTTCCTAGGGCAGCCAGACCCCTGACAGTCAAAAATGTCACTTCCCCTACCACCAGTCCTTCTTTCCTCCTGAATCCTACTGTGGCTCCTGTTACAGACACAGACACAGACACACACACACACACACACACACACACACCTGGCTGGGACTATGGCAGGAGGCTCCTCCCTGATCCTCCGCCTCCCCCTGCCCTCTACAGGTCATTCTCCACTCTGTGGCCAGAGGCTTTAAACATAAAAGCGATCACCTAACACCCTGTTTCAACACGCCAGTGACTTACCAGCATCTCAGGAAAAAGGTTGCAGCCCTGCCCGGGAGACTTGGGAGGCTGGTAGCTACTGACTCCACTCCTGCCTCCGCTCTCCCCTCAGCTGTCTCCAACCACAGGGCCTTTGCATAGCCTGGGGCTACCAAAGCCCCACCCCTGCACCTCTCAGTCCAGTTAGCTCTCACTCAGACCCTGGGTTCACACCCACCCTGGTCCCCAGACAGGTGGGGCCCCTGGTACGTGCCCCACGGCACCCAGCTCTCCTCCTCTGCACACCTTACTCTTTCTAATTGTGTCCATGGGTATGATTATCTGATCATCTGCCTCCCCCACTAGACAGTAAGCTCCATGAAGGCAGGGACGCTCACATTCCCAATGCCTGACAGACCAGGTGCTCAGCAATCCCTTGCTGTACCCAACTCCCTCCAAACACACCACACACCGTCAGGCTTCTGTGCCTCCACACGAGCTGGGCCTTTTGCTTGGAACAAATGCCTCTTTACCTTTGAAGAACCCAGCTGAAGCCACCTCTCTTCCGGGAAGTCTTCCCTAACAACCCTCTCCTCAGATCTGGGACTCCCTCATCTGGGCTCCTGCAGTGCCTTCTCCCTGATCTGGTCTAAGGCCTCACCCCACCACCTCCAGGAAGCCCCTTGGGTCCTCACGGCACCTGCTGCCACACGCATGTGAAGAGCACCGCTACACACACTCCATTCGAAAAGAACGGGCCCATGCTTTTGTGTGCCCCCAAACTCATAGGGACCCATGGTCATGTCATGAGCACATGTCCTCCCCACAAGATGCCCCAAACCCTGGCAACCACCAGGGGGAGCCTTCTCTCTCAGGCTCCCAGGCATGGAACCCCCACAACAAGCCCTTCCCCGCCAAAGGGCTCCAAGGCCAAAGGACACTCAGGCGCACACACTCCTGGAGACCAAACGCAATGCAGGACACGCCTTTGCACTCACCCGAGCAGGGCTCCAACAGCAGCTGCTCCGGGGAGTCCCCTGCAGGAACCCCCAGGGGCTTGGGCCTCACCAGCCGCAGCTGATCCAGGGCTCGCTTCTTCAGCTGCAAGGGGGTGACAAAAAGGCTACCTGAGGGCTCAGCTCCACCACCTCGGAGAGAGAAGAGGGTCCACAGGATCCCGGGCAGAACAGACTTACCGGCAGAGCCCGGGGCAGCACAGGACATCCCTCCCACCAGGTCCTCTCCTTCCCCTGCCCAGCCCACCACAGCTCCCGCCCTCAGGCAGGCGAGGGACCTACCCTGTGGCCCAGGGAAGCAAGCCCATCAGAGTCCGCTGGACCCCCACAGATGACCGAGGCCCAGAGACCAAGAGGAAGCAAATGCCACATAAGAGATAAACTTCAGGGTCTCTTTCTGTGAACTAGCAGGGTGACCCTCTGGTAGGAAGATGAATGAAACCAGTAACAGCACTAGTTATGCCAATACCCAAACGGTGTCGAAGGCCTACAACACACCGGATGCTAACTAAGCCTCCGAGGGGCATTAACTCACCAAAGTCATCGCCTGCCTACGAAGCAGGCGGCCTAAAACGCTCCCCATTTTCCAGATAAGGAAGCGGCCTCAAGGAGGGGTCAGAGGACATCCAAAGCCACACAGCTGCTGGGTAGCAGGCTGGGGCTAAAACACCGGCATCTAGCTCAGAGCTCACTCTTCCTTTACCGGATGTCTCTGAGCCTCACCTTACCCACGTGCGGCGGGCTGGCCATCCAGCGCAGCCGTCATCTGGGCATCAAGAAAAGGGAATGAGGCCGGGCTCGGTGGCTCGGCCTGTAATCCCAGCGCTTTGGGAGGCCGAGGTAAGCGGATTGCCTGAGCCCGCGGGTTCGAGACCCGCCTGGGCAACTTGGCGAGACCTCATCTCTACAATAAAATCAAAAACTTAGCCGGGCGTGGTAGCGCGCGCCTGTAGTTCCAGCTACTTGGAAGGCTGAGGCGGAAGGATCGCCGGAGCCCAGCAGGTCGAGGCTGCCGTGGCCGGGAATGGTCACTGCACTCCAGTCTGGGCGACAGAGTGAAACTCCAACTCAAAAAAAAAAAAGAAAAGGAACATGACTGTCGTTTTGTCAAGGTCTCACTATGTCCCACACATGCTCCCGAGCCCTGGGCACACTCTAGCTGATTTCATCTCTAAACTACCCTGGACAATGAGCTCTGCCATTGTTTTCTGGTCACGTAGTAGATGAACACTTAAGTCCCAGGGAAGGGGGACTCTCCCTCCTCTCCTCCTCCAGGGCTTCCAGAAAATGGAACCCGCTCTCTCTCTTTTGAACCCCACCCTTGGCACCCCCTGCCCTTGGTGTCCCCTCCCGCCCCCACCCAGCCCTGCTTACATTACTGCGGGGGCTTCGGTGCCGGCTGGCAGGCAGGCATTTCTCCTGAACTTCTAGAAGTTGCTGGGCTCTGTGGGAGGGAGTCATGTCATGTGTTTGCAGGAAGAAGGGGAGCCCCTCATCCCCTCTCCGGTCCCAGAGAATGCTAAAGGACTACAGGAGGAGGGAGACAGCCCCCATCCCAGGCCTGGCTCCCAGGGGGACCCATCCCCAGGCTCCTGGCTCTGCATCACCTCTGGTAATTGGGCACAGTGCCCCGGTCCAGGTCCCGCAGTGTGAGGGGGTCCACCCGGGTGCAGAACCATTCCTGCCTCCGCTTGTACGCCGGGTCCACCAGCCGGAGGATCTCTTGGGCTTTCACGCAGAGGGCATGGGGATCTGCCCGCTCTGGCAGGGTGAGGTTGGCTCGGATATAGAAAGGCTCGGAGTCCGGCTCCTTCGCCCAGGCGTCCAGGACTTCATGGAAGGACTGGCAGGCTGAGTATGGATGGGGCAGGGGACAACAAGGAGGACAAAAGGTGGTAGTGAGGTCAGGGCTCAGCCTCGGGTAGAGTAGGGGCCACAGACATGGCCCTGACCTGCCAGGCCGTCACCTTCCCCTTCTTAAAATCAGAGACTTGGGTCCAGAGGGGGTGGGGACTTGCCCAAGGCCACTGAGCCCACTTGGGACAGAACCAGGACTCAGACCCAGGTCTCTGAACTCCTAATGCAGTGCTCCTGTCGCTGAGCTACTTACACAGGAAGGGACAGAGAAGGGGTATGAGAACAGACAAAAGGAGACAGCAGCACTCCCAAGAGTCAGGAAGTGGGGCAACAGGGGCCAGGCTGGCTTCTCCCGCCCTTGGTTTCCCTCTGCACCATGCGCTGGATGAGCCCTCTCGTGGGCCATCTACTCTGACCTTCCAGGACTTGTGAGTTCCCAGGCCCTCCCCCAAGCCAGACTCACCCTTTGAGTCCAACAGATTCCAAGACAGGGTTCTCTGCTGGGCCTCGGCTTCAAGGCACACCCCCTCCAGGCCACCAGGTTCCACCCTTGGCTGGGAAAAAATCCAGGCAGGGACGGAAAGATGTGAACCTCAACGAGCAGGACAGCCTCAAGGCTGGGCGAAGACCAGGTGGGCGTCTGCCTCATGTGGCCCCCTCATGGGGAACTGCTATGCCCAGCCGAGTCACACCTGCCCCCATCCATAGGGCTCCCCAGCCAGATTAGCTCATCCCAGTCTCTTCCAGTTTAAGGGCAGACCCTGCCCAATCAGACTTTACTGAACTCTGACTGAGGCAGAGCAACCAGCAGCTAATCTGCTTTCTATTCTGGCCGGTCCCCAAAAGCTCTGCCTAGTAATCTTGATCCACCAATCAAAGGGTGTCTAGCCTGGCTAGACCACTGACTCCACCCCCCAGCTCATGGGGCGGAGCCTCACCTCTCTTGGTTCCATCTTGGCAGACCCGGGTCCAGAGATCACCCTCCGCACCATGGCCCCAGACCATCTGTCCCCATGGAATGACAGGCTGTCTGGGCCCTTATCCTGGGGCTCCGGACCCCCTGGGGGACTGCGGCCAGACATTCGAATGGCCAGAGACCTGAGAAGAGAGAAGGGAGATGGGAATTGGAGTTCAAGCAGTACTTTGGTCCGTTCAACATTCTTGGAGAACCACAATGACTCCATTCACCAAGTATGCCATGACTCCCACCCCAGGTCACTGCATCCACTGTTCCCTCTGCCTGGAATGCCCTTCACCAACTTCTCCACCTGGCAGATAACTGCTCATTCTTCAAAGTTCAAGTCAAAAGCAGCCTCTCTCTCCAGACTCCCAGGCATGCAGTGAGGTAAAGAGCATGCCAACCACACCTCACTGCGGTGCTGCACATTCCCTTTTGCTTTCTGCATCAGCACGAGCACCCTCAGGACCAGGCTTCTCTAGTGTTCAGCCTGGATCCCTGGCACCAAACCCAGTGGCTGGCACACAGCAGGTGACTAACAAATGCTTGTTATGCTCACGGTCTAGGGAGAGAGGCAGCCATTAGCATACAGCATAGGTCTGAAGGTGGTGGCAGCCAGCTGTGGGAGCACAGTGGGCTTCCAGGAGGAAGGAACCTGGGCTACACCTTGCAGAACAGGAGCATGCCTGTGACAAACGGAGGAGACGGCGTTCCAGGCTGCAGGAATGGCGTGAGCAGAGTGTGGAGGACAGAACCCAGGGTGTGTGGAAGAATTTCAGGATGGCACTAACAGGAGCAGCAAACCCCCTGGGTGCTTCCTGCATGCCGGGCACCATGCTGAGCTCCTTGCCCTCGTTACTAATTTCACATCCTGGGAAACAGCTCTCAGAAAAGGCAGGCTAAGGCCAGGCTGCAGAGGGCACGGAACAAAGGCACCTGGCTTTCCTCCCATGGGCAGAGGAGCCACTGACGGTTAAGACAAAGAGTTGTCAAAATCCCCAGCATGGCCGGGCTCGGTGGCTCAGCCTGTAATCCCAGCATTTTGGGAGGCCGAGGTAAGTGGATTGCCTGAGTCCGCAGGTTCGAGACCCACCCAGGCAACTTGGCGAGACCTCGTCTCTACAATAAATTAAAAAAATCAGCTGGGCGTGGTAGCGCATGCCTGTAGTTCCGGCTACTTGGAAGGCTGAGGCGGAAGGATCGCCAGAGCCCAGCAGGTCGAGGCTGCGGTGACCGGGAATGTGCCACTGCACTCCAGTCTGGGTGACAGAGTGAGACTCCAACTCAAAAAAAAATAAAAAGAAGCCGGGGTCAGTGGCTCAGCCTGTAATCCTGCGCCTTGGGAAGCTGAGGTGAGTGGACTGCCTGAGCCCGCGGGTTGGTGACCCGCCTGGGCAACTTGGCGAGGCCTCATCTCTACAGTAAATTAAAAAAAAAAAAAAATTAGCCGGGCGTGGTAGCACGTGCCTATAGTTCCAGATACTTGGAAGGCTGAGGCGGAAGGATCGCCGGAGCCCAGCAGGTCAAGAATGCAGTGACTGGGAAAGTGCCACTGCACTCCAGTCTGGGGGACAGAGTGAGATTCCATCTCAAAAAAAAAAAATCCCCAGCATGGCGGGGTTCAGCTTGCCCCTGGATGAAAACTGGTGAGGCTCTGTGGTCAAGCTCAGAGTCCCCTCCGAGACCCCCTGGCTGTGCCCAGCTGGAGAGGCAGCCCCACAAAGCCCCCCTCCCACCCTGGAGCTGTGGCCTCGATACAGCCTCGAGTCCCCCTGCTGCCAGCCGGGTGGGCAAGGTGGCAAGGACCTCCACCCAGCCAGCACCCAGGGGAACAGGAAGCTTTCGCTCCAGGGAACCTGTCTCAGCCTCTGCGGGGGCACACACAGGCACTGGAAACATCACGAAGCTCCCCACTGTTCTGGCTGCATCGAAGCGGCCTGGAAAGGCCCAGGCAGGAGCGGGAGGCCTGAGACCCACCTGGCCACAATGGCCAGTGGCTACATGGCTGGAGCACACAGGCCACTCCAAACCCCAGGGCAAACCATGCTCCGGGCCGTTGCCGGGTCTCAGTTACTGCACCCATAAGCTGCGGATGACAGCATCTGTTCCACTGCAGCATGGGGTTAGACAAATGGAAAGAGGAGGCGGGAAGGCTCGAGGCCCTTCAGATCGCAGGCGGGTCCCCTGGTGCGCTGTGATGTTCACGGGTCATGCCCGGCACCATTTTGTGACGGAATGGAATAGAAATTACAAGCCTGCCTCCCACCAGGTCAATCCAACCACTATCTCATGACCCTTTTTTCAGGCATGTATACTAGGTTTTTCTCTCTGTGGGTAATGGTCAGAAAGTCTCAGAAAAGTGACACAGTGCACTAGCAGGAACTCTGGGGCCAGATGATCCAGTTGAGCCGCCAATGCCTGGTGTCACCCACCTTCCTATACAACTCACTGGGCTAACATGGGAAGTTCCCAGAACTGTATCCAGTAAGTAGTAAGGGCTCAAGAAAAATCAGACAGTTACTGGTATCAGGTGTGATTCAGAACAAGTCATTGCTCTCTGGCTTCAGTTTCCCCACCTGTTTCAAACTCACCAACAACTGACCATCGTGGCCTCCATACTCACCCCACCTACTCACCCCATGTCTCAGCAGCCCCCTCCCCCATGCAATCCAAGCATCAGGGCTGACCCTGGCCTTGACTTCAGGCCTTCCTTGCCAACTCCCGCTGCTCCCCAAGACCCAGCTCAGGCATCCTCTCCTCCAGGATACCCTTGCCGGACTCCCCAAAGGACCAATGACTTCTCCAAGTTTCCACACACCAGGGACACGCTCTCTCGTCATGTCTCAGAGTCCGCCTGGGAACCTGTGGGAGCGAGGCCCAGACTGGGTCCCTCTCAGTCACAGGCCTCAGCAGACAAGCCAGCGGAGCAGAAAAAGAACACAGGACAGGGAAGGTCTGACTGCCCCAACCTCCCAGGATTGGCTGATCACCTGATTGCCCCAACCCTGCCTGGGGAGTTGTGGGAAGCATGGCTCTCAGCCCCCTCCCCAGCCAACTGGGGTCAGGTCAGAGGCAGAAAGGAGCAGGGGAAGTCTGCCTGTGAGCAGTGATGGGCCAACTGCCCTCAGGAATTCTCCCCACCCACTGCCCAGGACACTATGGGGAGATCTCCAGGCCATGATGAGACAAGCACATCACACAGTGGCCTCATCTAATCCTCCCAACAGCCCGTGGAAGCTTCAAGTATTACCCCATGTTAGAGATGGGGGGACTGAGGCACAGGAAGGCTACAACTTGCAGGGGAGGCACAGCTGGGGGGGTGGAGTAAGGCGATGACCTATCAGATTCCCCTGTGCAAGGACAGAAGATGCCAGAGATCCTCGGGGTCACAGGAGCAAGTGGGGGTGGCGTTCAGCCTGGGAGATGGCACCCGACACCCTCCAGTGCTCTCCCCACCTGCCCCCTCCCACCCCTCACTACACTGCCGGGCTCTTCCAGCTGTCCCCCACCCAGCCATCTGTCAGCCATCCTCCAGCCTGTCTGAGCACCCCACTGTCCATCATCCCCTGCCCTGCCCTGGGCCCAAGCTCCAGAAAGGGCAGAAAGATTGAGGGGGAGAGATGGGCAGAAACGGGGGAAAAGTGAGAAAGGCCCAGCACAGTGCCCAACACGCCGTGGGCACACAGCATGAGCATGAGGTTTAGAGCAGCTAGACACAGAAAAGGCACGCTGGAATCCACACGCCAAGTGACCTGTGCTTGGGACAAATTGCTGACTCTCTGTGAGCCTCAGTGTCCTCATCTGCTCAATGGAGCTAAAAATGCCAGTCTTGCAAAAGTGCTCTGAGGATGCAACAACAGCAATGATGAGAATAGCTAAGAGCTAACATGTCTTTACACTCACTAAGAGTGTAAACATCTAGAAGGAATACTGGAGCCCTCGCAATGACCCTGGAGCCCCCGCAATGACCCTAAAGGACAGGCACTATTTGACCCCGCTTTGCAGAGCAGGAAACGGAGACACTGAGAAATTAAGTGACTTGCCCAAGGCCCCATGGTAGCAAGTGACAGAGCCAGGATTTGAGCCCTGGGTGGCTGTTTCCGAAGCAAACTCTTCCCACCCCATAGTAGCAGCCCCAGGAGACATGCAAGCTGCCCCCGCCTGGCACCGTTAGGGCCCTCACCTCCCTCTCTGCCTGCCTGTCTGCCTCTCATTCCACCCCTGCCCCTCTCCAATCTGTGTCCTCCCCTCCACTCCCTCTTCCCCAGAAACAGCATGGGCAGGCAAGGTGGCCCCAGGTGACAGTGGGGCCCGGGTGAGGCGGGGCCAGAGGCTCCCGCTCCCTCCGGCTGCATCCTGGCGCCCACTGGACAGCGGCCAGGACCCCTGCTGCAGGCCAGGCTAGAGGAAGGGAGGAAGGGCTGAGGCAAGCAGGAAGGGAGGCGCCTCCACCCCTTCCCCAGAAGCACGTCCTGCGCAGGCAGAAACAATGTCGCTCTGGGCCCACTGGGGGTGGGGGGAGGGCCGAGGCCTGGACACTGGCTTGGCCAGGCTGCTTCCAGGAGGCAGGAGGCACCGATCCTGCCCTGCCCTGATTTGCTGTGTGACCTGTCCCTCTGCACTCGGGCACCCCAGATTCCAAAACCCGGCCCTGGTGCTTCCCAACTGCGAGACCTTGGGCAAGGTGCTTAACCTCTCTGAGCCTCCGCTATGAAACAGGGGTAATGAAAATATGGCTTCCCCTAGAACAGAGCAAATGCTGTAAAAGAGCCAGCAGCTGGCCTTGCATTTAATAACTAAACCCTCCCAACTTCCCAGAGTGTACAAGCCAAAGTCCACCCATCCCCTGCCTGACTCAGGAAGCCTGTAGGGATGGGCCCAGCCTCCACGTTTGCCCTTCCCCTCCCCCACTCTCAGGTCCTTCCCCACTCCCTCTTCCTCGGTCACCCTGATGCTCTGGAGCCCTGTTCTCTCTCCTTGGCTGAGTTCCAAGGCCACGATCTCAGCGTTGTCCCCTCTGTTCCCAACCCCTTCTCTGACCCACTGGCAAGTATGAACGGGGCCACTCACTGCCCACACAGCCAGAACCTGGCACCTACAGTGCTTTGTGACTCCTGTTAGGGGCTTAGAGCCCGCCCAGCCCCACCCACAGCATGAAGCTCTGCTGGTGGGCTCCATCCTGCCAGGAGCTCAGAGCCAGGGGGTGCTGGCAAGTGGGAAGTGAGACAGGGCGCCCTGTGAGTCCCAGCTGATATTTACGGAGCACCTGCTGTGTGCCTGGCAGAGCTGGGTGCTTGACTCTAGGAGCATAAACCTCAAAACACCCACATGCAGAAGAGATCCCCAGCCCCCTCCAGCTGCTGAGGCAACTGAGGCCAAAGAGGTGAAGTGACCAGCCCAAGTCACGGGGTGAGCAGCAGTAGTGGCAGGATTTGATGCCAAGGGCTGCCAGTGTCTAAAGATCTGAATCTTCCAGCAGCTGCATGAAGCAAAGGCTGCCCTGCTCCTCCCGCCTCACCCCTTCTCTCCTCTCAAGCAGTCACAGACCCAGCCCCCTCTGCCCTACCCACCCAGGCAGCTGCGGTACCTGTTGAGGAAGTCCAGGCCACAGCCCCGGGCCAGGAGGCCTTCCGGCTTTCCCAAAGGCCACACACTGTCAGAGGACGAGGACGAGGAGAGGCCAGGGGACCAGGGCTTAAGTGTCACGCTCCCTGGAGAAGAAGAGTGAGGTTCAGGGGTCTAGGACTGGGAAACAAGGATGGCTGGGGTTCATGCGGGGGACTGAGCCTCCTCAAGCCCAGAGCCCGAGGAGCCTTGGCAGGTTTGAGGCCCCAGGAGACACACTGGGCACACTGGGCTCAGAGCTGGGGCAGGGCCTGCCAGGGTGACCCTTCAGGTTCCTGAGAGAGAGAAGAGGGTGGGCCAGAGCCGAGGAGCCCCATCGGGCACAGCCAGGAACAGCAGTGGGGGCAGGGCTGACAGCCTGAACCAAATCCCGCAGGGGCCTCCCAAACGGGGTCTCCCTGCCTGGCCCAGGCATGTTGTGGTCTCAGGAAGGGAGACACAGGTCAAAGGCAGAGCAGGGATGCAAGCCCCAGGTAGGCTGCAGAGTCAGTTCCCAGACGAGCCCTCCCCACGGAGCCCCCGAGGGTCGTTACCTGTGATGTCCGACATGCTGCTGAAGGACCTGGACAGAGAGAGGGCAGGGAGGGGCAGAGGTGAGGCACAGCAGGCACTCTGGCCCCCCTCCCTCCTCCTGCCCCAGGCCACCAAAAGGTCTCACAGCCCCCAAGCAAACGCTGGTGAAACCCAAGGCGGGTCCCGGGCACAGGGTACCCCTATCTCACAGGATGAGAAGTTGCCATCCTGGTCTCTGCTACATGTTGTTCCATGGAGAATGCCCTGACTTGTCCTCCAGAGCCAGCCCCTTCAATGCCACGTCCTCCTGGAAGCCTCCCCTCATCTCACCCTTACTTGCTCCCTTTGTGGTTCATGGCTCCCAGGTGCACTGACCCTGGCAGCACCTGACCAGGGTAGGTTTGCTCAGATCAAGCCTGTACTGATCACAGCCTCGCAGTGCCCAGCCTCTCACCAGTAAAGAAACACATCAAGGACTACTTACGGGGGGAAAGCAGTGATGGGTTGTACCCCAGGAGGCAGGCTACATCCTACCCTGGTCTGGCCAGCAGGTGTGGCTTGGTTTTCCTGGCCCCTGTTTGCTGCTGAGGCTTTTTTGCCAGAGGTCCCTGACCTCATGAAATATTCTCCACATCCCCCAGTCCTGACCCACCAGGGACTCTCCTGCCAGAGTGCTCAGCTGGGGCTGAGTTCACCCTGCCCCCTGACCTTGTCTTAGTCTCTGACCTCGGTCACTCCTCTGACTGGCAGGGCCAGGGTCCCCAGAGCTCCAGCCATTCGAGGGCAGCAAAAGGAGGGAACTGCCCGACCTCACTCTGGCAAGGGGATTCTGAGAGGTGACTGTTCGGGAAAGGCGGCCCCACCTCTCCAGCCTCTGCCGCTGTCCCCAGCCATCTCACCTCTTAGGGGGTGCGGGATCCTCCTCACGCTGCCTGCGGAGGATGGAACCAGCGCTGGGGGGGAAGGGCAGGATGGAGAGCCGGTTGATCTCCTTCTCACTGTCTGTGGCCTCCTCCTGCAATGCCATGTTGGGGCCTGGGTTACCGCCACCACCCAGCGCCAGCCCAGTCCTCAAAGCACCTGGTTTGTGACCATTCCACAGATGAGAAGTCCAGCCCAAGACAGAGTGACTCCCGGGTCTTCTGGCGCCGAGCCCCAGGCTCAGGCCCAGCACCTGGGTGAGCTTAAATAAGGTGCTTGGCCTCCCTGGGCCTCAGTGTCCTCGCCTGTGAAATGGAACCCTTGGCAAACTCTACGTGTTGGCAAATTACATGACGCACTCTATGTGTTGGCAATTATATGAATGTTATGGGCTTTCCTCCATACTTGGGGTGGGGTGGGTGTCTTACCGAAGTGTGGGGCTCAGATCCCCCTGTGACAGCCAGTTCCCCAGTCATTTCCGGGCCACCCAGCGGTGAGGGGAACTCGCTCAGGCTCCAGGTGCTGCTGAGGTTGGAGCACAAGGAATGGGAGGAGGCACAGGCCTGGAAGAGGGAGAGGGGAATGAAGAGGTAAGGAGTGCCAGCCCCAGCCGGCCACAGTCCACACAGCGCCTGCCACGTGGCAGAAACAGGGACAGAGTGGGGCACAAGGGGCCAGTCCCTGCCCCCATAGAGCTCACAGTCTAGAGGAGGGGACAAACTGTAATCCAGCAGACAGAACAAAATAATCCCAAGCCAAGGTAACAACAGCAAAAGAAGGTTCCCAGGGCATGGAAAGCCTCCAAAGGCCCCACCCAGCCTGAGGCATCGAGTGCCTTCCAGAGAAAGTATGGTGTGAACTGAGAACTCAAGGACAGGTAGGTGCTGAGTAGGTGCAGTTGGGGAGGATGGTCCAGACAGATGGAACAGCATGTGCAAAGGCCCCGTGGCAGGAGTCAAACAGCTGAAGCCCATAGAATCAGGCTAGAGGGAGGGAGGGGTCCAATCAGTAGGGCCTCTCAGGCATGATAAGGGGCTCTGACTTTACTTAAAAGCAAAAAAGCCACGGAGGGTTTTTTGTTTTGGGGAAGTGGAGGGGTTGAGTTGGAGTCTCGCTCTGTCACCCAGGCTAGAGCGCAATAGTATAAGCACGGTTCATCGCAGTCTTGAACTCCTGGGTTCAGGCAATCTTCCTGCCTCAGCCTCCTGAGCAGCTAGGACTACAGGCTTGTGCCACCATGCCCAGCTAATTTTTTGATTTTGTAGAGATGAGGTCTCACTATGTTGCCCAGATTGGTCTCAAACTCCTGGGCTCAAGCAATCCTCTCACCTCAGCCTCCCTAAGTGCTGAGATGACAGGCATGAGCTGCTGTGCCTGGCCACAGAGGGTTTTGAGGCCCAAGCTAGACTAGGCCAGTGGTCTCTGAGGCCCAGGTTTTATACCCCAGCAAGCTCCCCTCAGGTGCCAGGCTCCCACACGTACATGCAGAACAATGAGACACTATTCTTCATATCCCAAGAGCCATCCAGAAACCCAAAGACCAGCATGCCCTCAGCCTGCTCACCCACCCATGCCTACTCCAGCCCTGGTCCAAGTGTTCCCACCCGTAGCTGAGGGATCTTGCTGGGATCCCCACGTCCCTCCCCTGGCTGGGGTCTCCCACCAGGTCCTGCATGCTCACGACCCTGGTCAAGAGTTCCTGCCAGGACCCCAGTCTTTCCGTCAGCACCCCGCCCTCCTGACCCGCTCACCTTGAGGCAGGTACCACCCTGGACCCGCTGTAGCTGTGCCTCCAGCAGGGCCTTGGCGCCCTCCAAGCTGGTGAGCGCGGTCACCAGCTCATCCCGCTCGGCCTCCAGGCCCCGCACCTGCTTGCGATACTGGTCCTTCTCGATGAGGCTCTGTGAGTACTGCAGCTGGATCCGGTCACGGCTCTGGATGGCCTAGGGGTGGGGGAAGCTGGCAGCTGAAGGAGCTGCACTGGCTCAGTCGTCCTGGCCTCTGACTTGGAGGATGGGGATGGCAGCCATTACTTAATCGAGCACTTCCTGTGTACCGGGCCCTATGCTATCAGCTCTTGAACCTTCACACTGACTGGCCATGTCAGATACTGTCATTATTCCCATTGTGTAGATGTGGAAACCAAGCCAGCAGAGACAAAGCTGGGATTCAAACCAGACAGTCCGGTTGCAGAGTCCAAGCTCTTACTGTTTCACCAAGAACAACTTAAAACTCTCCAGTGAGCCGGGCTTGGTGGCTCAGCCTGTAATCCCGCGCCCTTGGGAGGTTGAGGTGAGTGGATTGTCTGAGCCCGCGGGTTCAAGACCCACCTGAGCAACTTGGCAAGATCTCATCTCCACAATAAATCAAAAATTAGCTGGGCATGGTAGCGCGCGCCTATAGTTCCAGCTACTTGGAAGGGGGAGGCGGAAGGATCACCGGAGCCCAGCAGGTCGAGGCTGCGGTGGCCGGGAGCGGCCACTGCACTCCAGTCTGGGCGACAGAGTGAGACTCCAACTCAAAAAAAAAAAAACTCTCCAGTGAGACCTACTGTGTCCAGAGCTTGTTCCCAGCACCCCAGTCGGTGGAGAAGCAGGAGTCAAGCCCAGCCCAATGAATCCACAGTGCTGTTCCCCACCACGGAGACCAGAAGCCTGAGAGCTGGACCTGTGGCCCAGACCCATCCCCCACTGCCTCAGAGGGAGCTGGGGCCAAAGGCTGAGGGGTAGGGGCAGCAGGGTAAAATTCAGATTCCTGGGCCTTGCTCCAGACCATCTGAATCAGAATGTCTAAAGGATGAAGCCTCAAATCTGCATTTTCAAGCTCCCCGGGGCATTTTGAGGGCAAATCTAATGTATAGACTTCAACTCCACTTCCAACATTCAAACTTGGTCATTTGCAGCACCTCTTCTATGCTGGCCCTGACCTTGATATACAGAGAACAAAGGATTCAGGAAAGAAAGATGCCAGGACCAACTCCTGTAACTGTCACGGGTGCTCAGGTGAGGCAGGTGGGTCCAGGTCTGAGGTTGGTCTCCACAGCGCTCGTCTGGCCCCATCAGCGCACTGCTGAAGTCTCTTCCTAGCACGCCAGGTCCCTCCCTGCCTCCTTGTCTTCCCCTATATGAGTACCAGCACCTGGCCCAGGGCCTTGGGCACCACGGGTGGCTCACCTGGTCCCGCTCCTTCTCGATCTCCTCCAGCTGGGCCAGGACGGTGGCCATGCGGTGCTTGTACAGGTCACAGTCCTTCTGCAGCGTGCGGTGCTTTAGGCGCAGGTCTTCCATCTCCTGCAGGTACTGAGGGTGGCACAGGGCGGGGTCAGGGCACAGGGCTGGGGCCAGGGACCCTGACCAGCAGATCCAAGTGAGAGGGGCCTGAGCCCTGATAACCAGTGCTCCCACCCCAGGGGGTGGTCTGGGCCCCTGCCTTCACCCCACTGGGACTCAGCGGCCTAATCTGTAAAATGGGGAGAACGATAATAACATCACCCACCCGGCCACCCTCGGTTTCCCACTGAAACGGCAACCTGCCCCTTCCTCGGCTCTACTTCGTGAAACAGCCAACTGAGAACGATGTGTGTGACAGGCCGTCTGTCTCCCTGCTGGGATCCACCCCCACGGGAGCAGACACCTGCGCTCTGTTCACTGCTGTGTCCCAGCACCTAGAAGGGGGCCTCCGTCCACATGGGAAAACCAGCAGACGCAGAGTTTTTAGCACAGGGCCTGCCCACAGCAGATACATAGGCAGCGCTGGCCAAAGCAGCCGGTGGCTGGATGCCCTCCCACCCCCGGGAGCAGGCCTGGCAGGGGAGACAGGCAGCCCACCTTGTCGCGCAGCTCCTCGGCCCACTGCAGCTCCCCCTGCACGGCGTGCAACTTCTGGCACAGCTCCTGCCGGCTGTCCTGTGCCTCCCGCCAGTCATGCTCCAGGATGTCCAGCAGGATGCGCTCTGAGCCCGGGGCCCCCGGGCGGCTGGCCTCCTGGGGATCAGAGACCAGGGCCGCCTCAGCATCTGGCCCAGGGCCCACCCTGGGTGTGGGGAGCAAGGGGACACACAGCTCTCAGCCCCCAGAGCCCACCTACCTAGCTCTGCCGTGTTGGCCTGGGACCTTGGCCTCTGGATCTGTCTCCCCGCTGCAGAGAGGGCATGGCCCACCAGCCCCGCCCACCCTCCTGGGAGCATCTGGGGTCCGAGTGAGGTCAGTGGATGAGGACGAGCACTGACAAGTTTAGCCAGGATCTTGCTCCTAAGCAAGCACCGGGCCTGTGCTCTTGCTCTGGCCCCGCCTGCCGCCCAGGCAGGGGCTATTCCCAAGGCCTATTCCCACCCCTGACTAGGGGTCTTCCAGGGGCTAAGCCTAACCAAACACGTGGACCCTGGGCCCGAGACCCAACCCCAGACCCACACCGCAGGTAAGTACCCAGCCCCATGCACCTCACCGGCTCCCATCCCCCACTTCCTGCGTGGAACAATGGTCAGGAGACGGGCCCACGCTGCCCTGACCTGCGAGGAACACCAAGCAAGCCCCGGAGCCACCCAGATGGCAGGGGCTCAACCCTTTAAAGGTTGCAGACTTCCTCTGCAAATCCGACGAAAGCTGGGGCCCTTTCCCCAGAAAAATACTAACGCACAAAATCAGATGGACAGTTTCAAGGAGTTCAGACCTCCTGGATGTGGCTCACAGTCCCAGCCCAACGGCCCAGGGAGAGCCCTGCACCGAGGCCCCTGGCTCGGAGCCTCAGACCAAAGGCTGCTGGGATTCCATCCAGCGCTGGTTCGAAATCCTCAGCTCCCCAGGCCTTGGGAGGACGAGTGAACAACAAGAGGGTCTGATCCCCAGCCCACCGGCCCAACCCTGGTACCTGCTGCAGGCCTTCCTGCAGCTCCTGCAATGATGCTGCCAGGCGCTGGTTCTCAGCACGCAGCTCAGAGACAAGGTCCACGCTGTCCGGCTCCTTCTCCTTCTCCTCCGCGCTGGGGAGAGGCCCCTTGGCCCTTCGCAGCAGTGCACACTCTTCCTCCAGCCGACTCGCCTTCAGTTTGAGCTGATCCACCTGAGGTCCAAGACATGGGTCAGCCCAGAGAAGGACACAACCAGAGTCACCACAAGGTCACAGGGACGGGGAGGGGCTGTCCCTCTCTCCTGGCTGCCTCCCAGATTCCCAGAGAGGTCTGAGGAGGAGTCCACCCGGACTCGTCTGTGAAGAAGGGACAGGCTGGACAGATATGGAACAAATAGGGACGGGATAGCCAGCCAGGCCAAGGCCACCCGCCCAGGGGAATCCACTTCGAGGACTTATGGGCAGATGTGCTGCATCATAACACACTGTCCCACAGTTCTGACAATAAGTACAACCAACTTAGTCCAGGATGTGCCTGACAGAGGAGAAAGGCTGCATCAAGAACAGGGGATCTGCCTGAGCCCACGGGTTCAAGACCTACCCGGGAAACTTGGCGAGACCTCGTCTCTACAACAAATCAAAAAATTAGCTGGGCGTGGTAGCGCACGCCTGTAGTTCCAGCTACTTGGAAAGCTGAGGCGGAAGGATTGCTGGAGCCCAGTGGGTGGAGGCTGCGGTGGCCGGGAGCATCCCACTGCACTCCAGTTGGGGCGACAGAGTAAGACTCCAACTCAAAAAAAAAAAAAAAAAAAAAAGAACAGGGGATCCAGAGGCTAGGTGCAGTGGCTCATGCCTGTCATCCCAGCACTTTGGGAGGCCAAGACGAGAGGAATGTTTGTGCTCAAAAGTTCAAGACCAGCCTAGGCAACATAGGGAGAACTCATCTCCATGAAAAAATCAAAAATTAGCCAGGCGTGGTGGCACACACCTGTAGTCCCAGCTACTCAGGAGGCTAAGGCAGGAGGATTTCCTGAACCCAAGAGGTTGAGGCAGTAAGCTGTGAGCATGCCACTGTACTCCAGCCTGGGTGACAGAGTGAGACTCCAATTCAAAAAAACAAAAAAAGGATAGTGGATCCAGGGTCAGGCCCTGCTAGCCTCTAGCTCACTGTGGCCTTGGGCAAGTCATGGCCCCTCTCTGTGTCTCTACCTCCTCATCTATACCCGGGGTGAGGAGAAGGGAGGAGGGTGATGGTTTTGAGAATTGAGGGTCTCATCCAGCCCAGGACCCGGGCTGCCCCCTCCGACCCAACATCCCAGCTCAACACATGCTCATTGGGACAGCTCTGGGTCTCAACCTCCCTTAAAGAAGTTCCTGACAAAGCCTTTACTCCAAAAGACTAACAAGACTGCTGGTTCATCCCCACAAGAACACTGAGTCCAGGGTTCAGGTATCAATTTTACCACATCTAGGCTCTGTCATTCTGAGCAAGTTGCTTACCTCCTCCGGCCCTCAGTTACCTAAACAATAAAATGGGCCCAGTCAATCCCCTCACCCCATCACATGCCTCACAAAATTATTGAAAGAATCAAACAAGACAGTGAGTGGGCAGAGGCCTTTAAACGGTCAAGGGCAGTCTGCAGAGCTGCCATGGGTGTGACCACAGCTGTCTTCACAGCTCTAGATAAAATCTCAGAGCCCTAGCCAGTCACCAGTGTGGAGAGTGCAGCCAGAGGCCGGCCGGGTGTGGTGGGCTGTGGGATGGCCACCTGGTAAGATCAGATAAGCCCAGCCAGTCTGCTAGATTATGAGTGCACTTAGTCAAGGTTATTTTCCAAATGCACGTGGGGTCTGAGGTGGCCAGACAGAGACAAGAGTGGCAGCAGGTGGCAGGCCATAAAATGAAGCCATTGTTGGGAAAAGGTCACCATGACCTCTGGGGCTACACTCAGGCATGCAACGTCTGGTGCCCTAGAAGTGCCCTGGCCTCTGTTGGAGAATGACTTGTTAGTCTCCAGCCCTCAGAGCTCAAATGGCAACAAACAAACACACACACACACACACACACACACACACACACACACACACACACACATGAGTCTGGAGGCTGGTCAGGCAGTTCCACAAATTAACAGTCCACTCCTCCTCCACAAAAGACTCGGAGAAATTCATGACTCCCACATTCCTTTCCACTCACAAAACGTGCTTTGTGAAGCGCTGGAGAAAGACAGCCCGGACAAGGGCAGCCGTGGTCACACCCTCACCAGCAAACCACAGCCACACAGCACGGCCTCCTGCTTGACCCTCAGCCAGCGGCTTCCCCTATGAGCTCAGAGGCCAGGGCAGCTGGAAGTCTCTGCTGAGCACCAGGAAACACGGATGTGTTTAATCCTGGAGTACAAACTCACTTAACACAAAATTATAGCGTTCGTTCCTTGAGTTTATGTTGCTTAGAAAATAACAGATCATTAAATTTGCACCTTATAAAACACGGCATTAAATCACAGCCACTACACACCTGTCCATGGGAGGCGGGGATGCAGGCTGCCAAGCCAGGCACCATCAGCTGCTCTGTTAAGATCCGTCTGCAACGTCTTTAATTTTGTGGCAGAAAAGCCCCCAAAAACTTGAGGCAAATTGATGGTAGTTACATTTAAAGAAAATCGCATCTCTTAATATAATACGTCGCCCCTGCCGGGTTCGGTGGCTCAGCCTGTAATCCCGCGCCTTTGGGAGGCTGAGGTGAGTGGATTGCCTGAGCCCGCGGGTTCGAGACCCGCCTGGGCAACTTGGCGAGACCTCATCTCTACAATAAATCAAAAAAGGAGCCGGGCGTGGTAGCACACGCCTGTAGTTCCAGCTACTTGGAAGGCTGAGGCGGAAGGATCGCCGGAGCCCAGCAGGTCGAGGCTGCGGTGGCCGGGAGCGGCCACTGCACTCCAGTCTGGTGACAGAGTGAGACTCCAACTCAAAAAAAAAAAAAATATGTCACCCCTTATCCTCTACTCCCTAAACTGTGAAAAGCGGCCATTATCTGCCTAGGAGCAGATCACCTGACCCCTCAGAGGCCTTCCTACGTGGACCTGAGGCTGAGCTGCAGTCAGACCGCCACCGCAGCTGCCTCTTCCCGTCCTCCTTCCCATCCCAGCAGCCCCCAGAGGGCCAGTACACACAGGACATCCCCAGTCACAATCACACCCAACCCAGGGGTGAGATAAGTCATGCTGGCCACAGCCTCCTAACACCACCAGCCCACAGTCCTCATGCTGTCCTCTCTGAACAGCCGTTTTCTTCTCCTGAGAAAACTTCACAGCGAGCCCCAGGTCTGTATCAGGGAAAGAGAGCCCCCTCTGGATAAAAAGAGAGGACCCCTCTCTTCACCCACCACGCACCACTCCGGGCAGTGCCGACAGCAAAATAAGAAATCCTCAATCCTGGGACACTGGGAAAGTGCTCTGACCAACCTCTCCATGCCTCAGTTTCCTCCTCTAGAAACGAGGAAACTTGGATGGGAGAAAGGGGGAAGACAGCCGTGCATGCCCCCAACCAAGTGTTGTGGGAAATCAAAGTAGTCTATGCGTGGCACTCAGGATCATGCCCGATGCATAGGGGTGCTTTATCACGGTTATATCATCCTCATCTGTAACCTCGTACTTTGAGGGTGAGGAAACTGAGGCACAGAGAGAGAAGCCTTACCCGTGCCATACGTTTCATCAGCCATGGAGCAGGCCTGTGTCTCCAGCCCTGCCCACCACCCCTCAGAGAAGCTGCCACCTCATGCCAAACATCAGGCAGGCCCCGAATGACAGCATCACGGTCACCTCACAACCCAGAGCCAGCTATCTACACCCTCTAGCAGGACTAGCTATCTGGACCCTCCAACAGTTTCAACACCCCTGATCGGAGATAACTTCCCCAGACATTGACCTGCCTGGTGTGCACAAACCCAAGCACTGACACACCCATGCACCGACTCCTGCAGCCTCACATGTGCAGCACCGTCCAGGGCCACTGCTGCCACCTGCAACATTGCAGCCACAGCCCGAGGCTCACAGGGTCAGGAGGTTTCCAACTCTGAGGCCAGAATCCCACGGCGAAACCTCACACAGCATGGCTGGATAGAGTCTCCCGTGTGCACTGGCACCGCTAAGCCCTTGACATGGATCAGCTCATTAAATCCTTGGGACGACGCCCCGCGGCAGGCGGATGCCAGTATTATCCCTGTGCTAAGTCCCAAGCAGAAACCAAGAAAGAGAGGAGGCACGGCCTCGCTTGCTGCTGGAGAGGATTAGGTAAGACTCCACTGGACAAGAGCAAGCAGAACAGCCGCTCGGGAAGGCGGCCAGCTCGGGGCCAGGCGGACCGGGTCAAATCCCGGCTGTGCCACTTCCCAGCTCTGTGACCTTGAGCAAGTCCCTTCCCCAATCAGAGTCTCAGTGTCTGTATTTAGAAACAAGAACCTGGCGCACGATGCTTTCACGAGGATTAGAAGATGTGGTGCGTGTAACCACACGGTACACCACAACTCTTGATACCAACAACAACGGCCACTGACGACATGCGTTGTGAGTGTGGACTCTTGCCAGGCACTTCACGTGTCTGCAACTCTGTCTTAGATCACTGAATCCTCCTAATCCGAGGTTTCTCCGCCCCAGCACTGTTGACCAAATTTCAAGCTGGATAATTCTTTGCTGTGGGGCCCTCCTGTACACTGTAGGGTGCCCAGCAGCACCCTCGCCTCTACCCGCTGGTGCCAGTAACACCCCCCAGCTGTGACAACCGAAAAACGTTCCCAGACATGGCCCCGTTTTGGGGGAGGGGCCGTTGGGAACCACAGCCCTAACCCAACGAAGCAGGTACAGCAGCAGCAAAAGGACGACGGGTCCAAGAGCCAGCGATGGAGGCTCTGGGTCACAGGTTGGCTTCCCCATTCCCATCCTTTTGGCAAAGGCCCCCCCTTGCCCAGCCGCCCCGCCCACCGCCCAGGCCTACCGCCAGCTGCAGGTCGCGGCTGCGCAGTACAGCTGAGTTCTTCTCCTCGCTAAGCTGGGCCAGGCGCATGGCGATCATGTAGTTCTCATCCTTGAGCCGCAGCAGCTCCAGGCTGCCTGCCTCCCAGTCCTCACGCAGCCGCTGGCAGCGCTCCTGCGCCTGCTGCTGGTCCCGCAGCCGCTGCTCCAGCCCAGCCCGCTCCTCCTCCAGCACCCGGCCCCGGGCCTGCAGCTGCTGCTCCCGCTGCAGCTGGCTCTTGCGAGCTTCCCGCAGCCGTCGCACCTCTGTCATCAAGAACTGGGTCAGGCCCTCGGGCCCCTCCTCGTCTGCGGGGACAGGGGAGAGAACAGTCAGGTCAGGCAGATAAATACTGGGGGTTAGCAGACTACACCGAAAAGCCCAAACCATAAAACACTAGAGGGAAATTATGGGATGTGTTTTTGTAATTTGGGGGTAAGAAAGGACTTCCTACACACGGCACAAAATCCAGGCATTATAAAAGAAAAGATGGACAAATCCATACACAAACATTTAAACCTTTGAAAATTTAAAGATGTAACAAAGTTAAATAACAAGGAACAGAGCGGGAGAAAATATAACAAGCGACTCAGAGCCATAAAATATAAAGAGCTCCTACAAATCAATAAGAAAAAGTAAACCAAAAAAAATGGGAAAAACTGTCAATGGGCAAGACCCAAAATAAAAATAGCTAGTAAACACAGCTATGCTCCAATTCACCAACAATAACAGCAGCCACTAACATTTGTGGACTTCATTCTTTGTACTATATACATATATTAACTTATTTCATCTTCAAGACAACACTATAAGGTAGATACTGTTATTGTGCCCATTTTAAAGACAGAAAAGCAGAGGTGCAGAAAGGCCATTTGTTCAAGGTTCACTAATGAGTAAGCTACCAGCTATTTCATTCAATGACACATAAATTTAAAACCATAACATTATTTTTTACTTATCAGAATGGCAAAAATATTTTAAAATGATCCCCAGGACTCATGAGGATACAGTAAAATGAGCACGCATACCCTGCTGATAGGAGGCATGCTGATTTAGCAGGCAAAATGTACACACTCTTCGGGAATTCTTCTCAGAACCTTGCTCCCTGAGTTACACATTTGCACAAAGATGCACATACGAGGAAGGATGTTTCCAGCATCACTGAAACGTTGCGAAACTGGAAACAACCTAGATGTCCATCAACAGGAGATAGGTTCAATGAATTATGTCATGATTTCACTAATGACTATTACACAGCCACTTAAAACAAGTGCATCAGAGCTAGAAGAATCACTAGGATCAGTCATTCCAAAAAAAGCAAAATTCACATGTAGGTCAATTCAGTGTGTGTGTCTGTGTGTCTGCACGTGTGTGTGTATAAATGCAAAGAAAAAAGGAGAGTCGTTAAACTGCTACCAGCAGAGAACACCTGAAGGAAGAAGTAAAGATCCTTTTCAGTCTAAAGTCACCTAGAGACTTTGAATTTATATTAAAATAAAAAAAACCCACATAGGCCAGACATATATATGTCGGAAAACAAAACTAGGGAGAAAGAGCCATCTTACACGCGAGGCCTGGGAACTTGGACTAACTGCACTACAATCCAGCCCCACCCTCCGCCTACTGCGGGGCCCTGGGCAAACCCCTTTAGTCTTACTATGCCTCAGTTTCCCTAACTGTTCTGCAGGGTCGATGGGAATGCCTCCCTGCCAGGGACCGCCCTGGTGACCAAGTCGCCAGTCCACGGCGGATCCACTCACCGAGGATCATGGAGCAGCGCTGTGCCGGCTCGCGGCCCGTGAGCAGTGTGAAGTGTTCAGGGTAGTAGAACTCCAGGGCCTCCAGAAAGGCCTCGTAGCCCCTCTTGCCACGGCAGCGCAGGATGTCCATCAGGCGCCCTGGGGGGTGGGGGTGCACCTAGGGGTCAAGGGGAGGGCTCTCCCAGTGCCTGGTGGCTTCTTCCCACCCGCCCCCCACCATGCTCCAGGCCCACGTTCCCCAGATTTTTGAGCCGGTGACACACACAGGGGCCTGTCCCAACACATCAGGAAGGAGAGCCAGATCCCTCCTGGCACCTGGGTTCCCCAACACCCCCCACCCAGAGGCAGGCCAGCAAAGGCAGTCTGCCTTTTCACAGAGAAGCCTCCTCCGGACCCCAAAGCAAAGTCAAACACTTCTCCCACTGGCCGGTCCTGAAATTCCGCCATTAGGCCCTCAGTCCCTTGCCAGCTCTGGCTCAAAGGCACACTCCGCGGGAGACCGGACCCTCCCGAAGCGAGGTGGGTCTTGAGCGCGTGGGGAAATGCCGCAGGGAGTGTGTGGCACGGAGGACGGGGCCGGCAGGGCCGACAGGGCCCGGAGAGCAAAGAGCCCTGGACAGACGCCAAGCCTGCGGGCGGCCACCCGGAGGTCCCAGGCCTGGCCGGCTGGCCCCAGCAGCCACACCTCACATCG